GATTGTCTTTTCCTTTTTTCTTTTTTTTTTTGTGAAGGTATAGTGCTCTAGTCCAAACCGGCCCATTTGTCTACCAAAATAAGAGGCTCTACCACGTATAAATGTTATGATAAGTAAACGTATAAAAGTAATGAATAAAAATTTTGTTGCTGACTGATAACGACATTCAAGTAAGTAACAGGCAAGTATTATAACTTGAGCAGCATTTTATTATTTTGGTGTCATTTTCTCATGCCATTTTATGTGGCGTTGATGGCATCACGATGTTCAATCTACGATCAGACCACAAAATATATAAGTGTTAATATATTATCACATTTAAAGAAAAACAAGGAAATAACTTCAATGACGCGGCTAAAGCTCGTCTCATTAAAAGAAGAAAGTCTAATAGATTATATTGGTATAGTTATTAATTCAATTTAATTACATTTAGTATAGAGCAAAGGTCATCACATTTCGAAGATTTCGTTCAACGGCATAGTTTCATGTCTTCATTATATAATGTGAATAACGGATATGCCTCCGATTTATGGAGAAATTATTCCAATGGGTTAGAGTTTCGTAAGATCGTTTAATTAATGCGGTTCAAAAATTTCCGTGAATATAGCATTTAAAGTGATAATTTTCCAATGCATATCTATACTTTTAATATAATAAATCAGAAGAGTTTTATTGTTTGTTTAAACAAAAATAATCTCTAGAACTACCAGTCCGATTTGAAAAATTGTTTTTGTATATGATAGCTTGACACACTTAGAATAATATAGGCTATCTAGCATTTGATTTTTGTTAATCAATTCAGAAGAAAAAGCTCTCCCGAACTGATTTATCCGCATGCGTTGGCGTAATTGTTAGTGATATGTAAATATAAAAAGTTCTTCAAAAATATTGATCTTTACTCCATTATAAAAACGTCAACGATACCATATGCCTATTTCTTATATATGAGCCACAATAAGGTATTTTGTGACAAAAAATATTGAAAATTAAAAAGTATACGTAAAAAAAAAGTAAAAGTATATATTCTATGAGCGTTATTATGAGGCATGGTATATTAATCTTTACGAACGAAAGTTACTTTGTCACCAAGACAATTTTATTAAGAAAAATTTTACTCCTTTTAGCATGTTATTAAGATGCATAGTTTAATAGATAATGTAAAATTAAAATAGTTCAACACTCTGCTCGGCGCGCGATAGACGCATAACTCTAACCACCCCGATGAGGTGAAATATAATTTAAGCCACATGAAAATGTTACTAAAATATTGTTTATACTGAAGTATTATAAAACAATCAATCAATCAGTGATTTCTTAAATCATACATGAGTGAAACAGCTTAATATCATAAAATACAGCACAGGGCACAGCTAGTATATCATAAAAATGTTGTATCGTATCCGCTTTATTAACTTAATATATTGTTGATGGTCTTTGTTTCTTTTTAATAGATTATAAATTATATTAACATATAAAGAAATCTGTTACCGTTAAACCTTTTTTGTAATGCAGTTATAACCAAAGACGAGTCAACTGCTCCTGCCGCTCCCAAGGAACGCCACAAAGCACAGTGCTGAGCTTACTGGAATCCATCGACTTCCTGCATCTCTTATCTAGTGGTGGGCCGCCCTACGCTTCGCAATATATTATTAAAATTTAAATTCAAATATTTGTTGTGTGTTAAATTACAAATATAAGATGATACAAAATTAAGTGTATAATATTTGACCTATGTGTATGTGTGCGTGAGTGTGTGTATGTATGTGTGCACGTGCAGGGCGCAAAGGCATAGTAACATAAGCAGACTAGCTGTTTCCTATTTATTATATAATTTAATTTTACATTTTATAAAATTTCATAAAGTTGTAATATTTTTTATTTTATTAATTACAAATGTAAATACATTTAGTTGTTATAAATATTGAGAGACATCGAAGTATTCATTTTTATGATTAAAAAATTTGTAAACTAAAGTAACTTTGATTAATAATAAATAATAGTTTGTTAAAATGTGCTCAATTTTAAGTTTTTGTGTTATTTACTAGAATACTTTTCTCTTATCACTGGTTCAGAAAAAAATGTCATGGGAAGAACAAGCAAGAAACCCAGTAGGACTCTTTTTTTATATTAATTTATAATAATTTCCAATGAAATCCAACTGAATTATACATTAGAAACAGCATGGTAGCAATTAACTCATTCTCAGGGATTGTTATCAGTTCTGTATTGTTTAGTATTATAATAACTCTTTTTATGCAGTTCTTGTTTCGTAAAAAATTTTAAATTTTTAGATCGTACAATTTTTATTTCACGATACGATTTAAAGACAACATTTTATTTAACATGGGGTGAAGGCTAGAGGAAAATAATTTTTATTTCAAAAAGGGTGAGAGTAAACTTGTTTAAATTTCTGTTATTTATTTTAACACCTTTAATCGTTTAATCTTTTAAATAACTCGAGGGTATTAATTATAAATTGACTAAATAATCAGTATTTGATGTTTGTAAAAGTGATGTTTGCTGTCCTGTCTGACTGTCAACCTGATGGTAAGTGGATATTGTGGCCCATAGTCATTTACATCTATCCCTTAATCAAAATGTTGATGCGTTGAGACCCTCGAGGACTAAGATGGAGTGACGAGGCACTAGTAAAAAGGGTCTCCGATTCTCAACACTCACCATACGAAACACAGTAGCATAAAAGCTGCTATTTAACGCTGTTATTCTGTGAGACGTGAACCTTCGACGGTCGAGCCGACCCATTTGAGCTTCAACCATAATATAGGTCCAGAGTGGCTCTACTATTGTAATTAATCTACCTCTGTTATTTATAAACGGAACCAAATATGTTCCACGGACTTTACTTTATCTTCACTTTATTTCCAAGGTGCTCAAGTGCTAAGTGATTTAATAGACTTACATGCTATGCTATGCTATGATAATGATTTCTCATGCTAACAGGTTTCCAAACAACGTTTTTTTAACCGATGAGAACGTGGTAAATAAACACTTTAAATTGGAAGCAATAATTTAATTGATGCCAATGCAAATCAAACGCGGGTAGCTTATGTACTAAGAAATTTAAAGCTAGCGGTTATCATCTGGGCTACCACGCCTCTATAACTTGAACAAATTTCTTTTCTTTTCTTTTTATATAAACGTTTCTACTACATTATAATTTGCCCCTGTATTGTGTATACGTTTTACATAAATGAATTGCACACGGTCAAACATCCTGATCCAGGACAATTAATTGTAGGACATACAAATATTGTCCGTGCAAGATTCCAAACTACCTTGCATACTGTTAAACAATTTTGCTATAAATTAGCTGACCCTGTAAACGTTGTACTGCTCTTTCCATTGAGCGGCGCCATGAGTTTCCTTCCGATTCCACTCCGGACTTTTTACAGTATACACAAATTTAGTAAAAACCCGACCACAGCGCCACCTATCCAGGTTCAGATTTTGCGATTTTTTCGGCACAAAACTAACATATATTTGCTACCTCAAAGCTCCATTGTGTTTAAAACCACCAGAGGATGACCACAAGAGACGTACTATCACCGGTTCTTTGGACTATTGCGGATGACCAACTATGGTATAAAATGGCAGTACTGCATATGAACACAACACCGCTGTTACCTTATAGTTGATCAATAAAATAATCATTAATACAAGAAAACCCTAAACACCATAAATAAAAGTTAATGCTGATAAAACTAATAATACCCTTTACCAAAAAGCGACGGTTGGATAAATTAGTTAATGAAAGCTTAATGGTAAATATAACTTATGTGGAGAAAGCTATTTCTTCACATAAGTTATAATTGCTCTATATACATTTTTATGTCTTGACATAAATTCATATGAATAAAATTGTTTTAAATTATCGATCCGCCACTGCTTCGCACGAATGCTCCGCACGGATGATTTATGGATCCCGACAACAGCGCCACCTCCCGGCTCCAATTGTGAATTCTAAACCATCCAGGGTCCCACTCAAACAATCTCAAAAAATGTAATTAAATTCGGTCCAGCCGTTTAGGAGGAGTTCACTGACAAACACATGTACAGAATAATTATATAATATACAAAGATAATATTTTTTTGAAAAGTTAGAGCTATGTAGAATGTGCAATAGTTTTTGTAAAATATATTTCTCCGAAATCAAAGCGAGTTGAAGTTCGGTGCGTCGGGTGAATCCTTAACAGGTATCTCTTCCAACGTTCATATAAACGAGCAGATCGTATCATCATGCAAGCATGGCTTACGTCATATCGAAGAAAGTAGAGTTTTTATGAATGCTTAATATTAACTTCCGATTTAATATGCTGATTCTTGAATAAGTTAAATCAAAATGTCATCTCGCATATTCTCTTTTTTTAGGTCTGTCGGAAGTTTCAATATTATAATATCTATATTTAATTATATTTATTCATTGTATTTATTGCCGTTTATTGCTTTCAGTTAATATTAAAATAAATCATCAGCTTGATCTAAATGAATTAAACCTTTGGATCTAGTTTTTTTATTAACAAGCAAAATTTAAGTGAAATCTTTAATAATAACAAGACCCAGTGAAAGTAAATGATTCTCTCGGATGACAGTAATCTGTAGTCAGACCGTATGTGGGAACTTTACCCGTTCAAGTTACGAATAGACATTTAGCTTTTAAATGTTCCTCATCAGCAACAAGTCTTACTAATTGTTTTCTTCAATGTTTATTTTAAGCTACTTTTAAAATACTGATATGTTTAGGGAAAAGAGTACGTTACATTAATTATAAGAAAAAATTAATAATTTGAAAACGTCATTTCAATATTCACAAAATTCCTATTTGTCTCTGAGTTCATTACGTTTCTCCGATTATTCTATCAAAATTATGGAAAGAGAAAATTATCTTTTAATTCCTCTTAATTTTGGCTGTATAGATTTGTGCACTTTATAAGGCTGTAAATTTATCACACAAAATTAAAAATAAAGTCACTGGTACTCACTGAGCGCATCCTGTCGGCTGTATAGGTTACACTGGGTCACAACCAACTACGCTGTCGTAGTAGAGTGAACGTTCGAGTCGCCTGCGCACCGGCGTTCACAACGCTACATCAAGCAACACTGCGTTGCCAAAGCACCAGCACCCTACGGACGACGTCTTGCCCGATTGTATAAACCTGACATCGAAGAACAAGGATGTTTTGATACCGAAGTGGTCGTTTGTTTACAAAGCCACCCACTCATAACGGCAATTAGCTGTTTAATATGCATTTATTCACGAATACACATTTTCTGACGACAAATATAATTGACTGCGTTCTATACCTTTGATACTAAACAGATTTTGCTAGTTACGGTGGAATAACAATGTGGAATATAAATTGAACACATACCAACTGATATAAAATTAGTTTAGAGAAAACGTCATGCAAATACAATTTTGTGTAATTTTATTACCTAAGGCTTCACACCACTACTGCTTCACATCAGCTAGTAAACAACTGCTTATTGCAGACACTTGAATTCCATTTTTTATCATCTTCATTACATCCACCGCTGACCATATACCTCCAAAGAATGCCACAAGGTACTATTCTAAACCACCTGCATAGATCGACTTCCTGCATCTCTCACCAGGTTGTTACTCCATCAAGTCGGAGCCGTCCTATACTTCGTTTAACGTTATAAGGCTCCACTAGAGAACTTTTCTTCACCATTTAAAATGCAAAACCAAAATTAAACGGAGCAGCGGCAGCCCGTAAGGACTTCTTATCTCGTCTTCAGTCGATGGATGCAGAATACTCAAGGCTGTGTTCAGTTCAGCAGTGAACTTATGAAGGGCTGTAATGATGACGATGATGATGATTTTTAAATAGATACACTGGCATTTTCAGCTACCAAAACTGGTTTCGGTTTGTTATGCATCCTCGTAACATCCCTTACCACAACTACACCTCCATGCACGGATTGTGATAATGGAAATGATGCTTGACACATATAAGGAAGTAATATAAGCTAGAAACCACAAAGAAATCCCACAAATGTACGGTTTTAATTACTAAACAGTTGCATAACAACTTATAATATTTGTCACTTTACGAAACTTGCATGGAAACAGAATTACGTTTCGGAATGTTTTACGTTAGTTTTACGACTTCGCTTTAAGTTTTGCCATTCATAAGCGAAATGCAATATTAATATTTGACTAAAATGTATGTAATATATTTAAAGGATATTTTTGTACAGTACCTTTACCTTTTAGTAAACAATCTATGAACCTAAAACAATTATTATATTTTTTAGATTTCGTGTTCATTTGCATTTTTTAGATTTACCAAATACGAAGCCTTTAGTATTTTTACAAATGTCTCAAATAATTTTAGATTACATTGAGTGAATCCCTCTTTGATTGCACTATAATATCTATTGCGCATTTGATGACTTCAAATACTTAAGAAGACATCATCATTATCATTAGAATAAATCTTAATGTTGTTAACAGTTCTAAGCTTCTAAAGTTATAATTTAAACATTTTCAGGTAATATAACTTATTTGTCAAACAAAATTTAAGAATATTAGGACTTTGTCTCGGTAGGTCTCACCTATATACCTATTTCTGCTGCCAAGCAGTAGTGCGTGCACTGCTATGTTCCGGTTTCAAGGATATAGGGAGCTAGAATAATTACAACCTGTAAGGCATTCCAGCTTTCATCACCGTGTAGTGGCGGTGTAAGAATATCCACTACTTCATATCATCAGGTGAATGTAGTTAGAGACAACAGAGGGAAACAAATCAGGAGATGGGCAGCAGCGTCTTCCTAATAACTTAAAGAAACTGCGATTGCCAACCCGCTTGACAAGCGTGGCAAATATCCGCCCTATGAAGCAATCTATGAGGGAAGCCTATGTGCAGCAGTGGATTTTTATAGGCTGTAACGGAAGCATTTCACCTTAGCATTGATCCTTAGAGGTTAAAACGCAACTGTAACCTTCTTTGTTTGAAATTGGTAACAGGTGACCATGAGCGGCAATAGTCAATTGGACAGTAGCTTCATTTATCACTTCAATTTAATAAAAAATAAATAAACAGAAAGCCTTTAAAAATAACAAGTCATTCAATTTCAACCTTTAAAAGTGCTATCACGTGAAAATAATAATTAGTTGTAGCAAAACTTAATATCCTTAATTTGTGGAAATATAAATATTCACTATAAATTCGGTGTTCCATGCAACATGTTGCAACTTTTCATCTGTCATACACAAATTACGGAATCCATCGCCAGCAGCACCGCTAAAGACAAGCGGTTGTTACACAACCACTTATGTGTACATTACGTGATTCTTCAATAACATTCGACACACCCACATAAAATTATACATTTTTTGCAGTAAATTTTTTTACCTTATATTGGCCATTGCAGGGATATATTTTCATATTACATATTACGATTTCATACGCGCAAAAATATCATCTATGCATCATACTAAGTTATACTCTACCGTGTAATAGGAGTAGGTATAATAATTTCTTATTAATCTTAAATAACATACTCTCTTAAATATGTAGCTACTCCAGTACTGAAGTAGTGCGGCAGGCGAATTGTATCTCATTCCTCTAAGAAATAAGAAGAATATACACTGGAGTGGAACATATATAGGCTATGACTTCAATTTTTTATATCTATAATAAAATCTTTTTTTAATAAATAATAAAATTAATTTTATAACCATCTGTGTGTAATTTTGTAGGTGTCGTGAGAGATATGTCGCGTACAGTCGCGGCACAATGTCGACAGAAATTTTACTCGTCTACACAGCAATTGAGCTCGAAATGTTGCCTGAGGAGGTAGTGCTGTTAAGTACGGCTTACATAATTATTCGAAGAAGCATTCCGAAATGTAAAAACAAGATGGTGGATTCGTAAATATTAACTACAAAAGGAAAGGTCATTAGGCTTGGTAAGCAATCTTCGAATGTGTGGCGGCTCATTCGAAAATTTTACAAGAATGTCTACAACCGATTTCAAAATACTTTTAAGTATTGTTAGACCGTTCATTATTACAGCCCATCACAAGTCCACTGAACATAGGCCTCTCCCAAGGAATGCCACAAAGCACGATTCCGAGCCACCTGCATCCATCGACTTCTTGCACGTCTTACCAGGTCGTCACTCCATCTAGTGGGGGGACGCCCTACACTTCGCCTGCCGGTACGAGGCTGCCACTCAAGAGTACCAAATGTTTACAAGGTATTGATAAAAGCTTTTAAAGATTTTATTAAAGTAAATATATGATGGCATATAATTGAATGTGATACCATAGCAATTTTGGTAAAACTCTATAAGTACACAATCTCGTTGGATCAACCTATTGACATTTTACGAAAATTGGGGAACACAACGCGACATGCGTTCTCACTTCACAAATGCTGTCGGGCGACAGTTGTCGGGACTGTTGTCGGGCGACTGCTGTGAGACACACGCGCATTATCAACGCTTTGACAGTGCGCAGCGCGTAGATGTTGCCTGTGCAGTCGGGCGATATCGCACGAGACGTCGCCCGACACGTAGAATTCATGTCGGGCAATAAGGTCGCGGTACAATTTTCTCCTATTGATAATTGGCTTAAATTATTGCCAGATAGATCTAATGATTGGGTTGACATAGGGAATAGATGGCAGATTAATTGTACCGTTTTTCAGACTTAGAATACCCAGACTGGCAGCGGGGAGCAGCGTCTAATAGGTGAGAAGCCTGATACTACGATTAAGATCTATAGACCGTACTTTGACGTTGCTCAAACTTCACTGGCGAAAAACATAGCTGAGTATACGCTTAGTATAATCTTTGGTTCTGAATTTATAGTTGAATCAGGCTAAGATTAAGCTACGCTTATGCTAATGCCCAGACAGTCAAAAAATTAATGGATGCTTTATTCCACGCACTACTTTTAAAAAATATTTAAAAATCGAAAACAGTTAAAATTGTATTTCATAAATAAGTTATTATTATATGACATAAAAAATGGTAATATTCGACGGCTCCCTGGCGTAGTGGCTTAGCAATTAGTTGCAACGCTTGGGGCAGCGAGTTCGAATCCCGCACGGAGCAAGTATTGGTATGGCCTACAAATAATTGTTCCGGGTCCGGATGTTTGTCCTTGTATAATATATGTTTGTAAACTACCTCCACGATACAGGAGAAAATCCTAGTGTGAGGATAACCTTCTTTAAAATGAAAAAAAATAGGAACAAGAACAGATGAAAAGAGTGCAAAATCAGAAAAAATAAATAAAAAATGAGGTTTTAAGAATTTCGAAATAAGTTTGAAATTACGTTAATAGAAAATGGATTAATGCTATTTAAAACTAGAAGATGGCTCGACGACCTATTTATTTTTATAAATAATTATAGAATCATAAAAAGAACAATTTAAAATGAATAAAGTGCCTTCAGTTAACATCCTGAGTTTTACGTAAGTCATCTATTTTGTTGACTTAGACTTTACTAAGCACTTAGCACGACTTTTAAGTTTGCTTTATAAATACCGTCATTATCCATGGTCAAAAGTGAAGTATGAGCAAAGTCAAAGTACGGTCTACAGATCTTAAACCTAAGATCATTAATCCGCCTGAGAGTGTTTTTGTACAAAACTTCAGTGAAAAACAAACTTGCAGTCCACCTGATATAATGTCTGCTTTTTATAGAAATACTTTCCTATATACAATATTAGACGAACAGCTATCAGGAATAATGCATACAGATTTCTTGAGGTGCTAATATGCAACAGAGTCACGTTGAGCTGGTCCTGTAAAAAAACCACTTAAAATATTTATATCTTGCTACTCTTAGTTTTGTGCATTGTTAATGGTTATAGCGTAACATAAGTAGATTAAAAAAACTATCTTCAATTTAAATTTTTTTTTTTAAATTGGCGATAGAACACAACCAACACCAACTAAGAAAATAATTGTGACATTAAAAAAGAAAATCTGTTGAAAAGCTGACTGACAGACAAACTGCGTTTTTTTCTTTTTTATTCTACTTTAAATAAGAATTTAATACAGTATATAATAATTTTTTTTAATAGCATAGCATAGCAAAGAGTGTATCTTTTCACGTATAGT